TCTCCTTTCTCAGGTCACATGGGACAGCAGCCCTGCTCCCATTGGCCCGTTCGGATAAACTGTCTAAAAAAGAAAGAGGGTTAGAATTTCAAAGTAAAACAGGAAGTGACGAGAACAAGACCTAAGCCTCCCCCCAGCCTCACCCCATCCTGTCTGTGCCCCCCCCCCCCCCCCCAGGCCCAGAGTCGGGAGGCCTCCCACCAGCGGCGCCGGGAGGAGCTGCACTTCCTGGACCAGTATGGCCAGCCGGTCACCCTGCAGCTGGAGGGGAAGCGGGGCCACAGGAAGCGCCGCCCCCGCGCCGCCGGCGAGTGCCCCGCCCCCACCGAGAGGCACTGGGGGGCCCTGAGGGCCATGGGCCTGGTGGAGGGGGAGGAGGGGCGGCCGGACGGCTACGGAGCAGGGTGGGTCCAGCTCCAGGCCCCCCAGGCCCTAAAAACAGCCTCCTGGCCCCAGCTGATGGGGGTCCTGGGTGGGTCCATATCCAGACCCCCCAGGCCCCCCGTTTTTTACCTTAAAGCCCTGAAGTGCAAGCTTTCCTCCAGCCCCTGAATGCACCACACATAGTGAAACTGAGGACAACCATGATGGGCACTTAAACACACACAGTTACACACACACAGACACACACAGTTATACACACACAGACACGCACAGTTAAACACACAAAGTTAAACACACACAGTGAAACACACACAGTTACACAACTACTCTGTGTCTGCAGTTACACACGCAGAGGAGTAACACACACAGACACACACACAAATTTAAACACCACACAGTTACACAGTTAAACTGAGTGTGTCTGTTGGTACACACACACAGCAGTTACACACACAGACACACACAGAGCAGTTAAACACACAAAGTTAAACTAACAAAGTTAAACACGCACAGTTCCACACACAGTTACACAGCAGTTACACACACAGACACACACACAACAGTTAAACACACACAGTTACACAGCAGTTCCACACACAGACACTCTGGGGGGGGGGGGGGGGGTGCCCGGCGCTCCATGAGGGGACCTGAGGTCCTCTGGCTGCTCATGCATATTAAGGAGCTGTGATTGGCTGTGATTGGCTGTTGCTCACAGCCTGCCTCCAGCTGCTGCATCTCTCTGCTCCCCCCCCCCCAGGCCTTACTACGGCCCCCTGGCCCTGTCACCTGACCTGTACCCGGCCAATGGGCACATGGTGATGTCGGCGGACGTCTACCCGCCCGACGGCTACCTGCCGGCGGCCCCAGACGACCAGCGGCCGGGCGGCTCCTACCTGCCCAGCGTCTCCTACAGCCTGGACCACCTGGACCACCTGGAGTACCAGGTGACCCCCCCCCCGGTCCCCCTGGACCCATCTGGGCCTGCCAGCCGGCCCCCGGACGCCTCCGCTCACCTGTTTCTGTGTTTCAGGGAGCCGAGATGCCGCCCTATCAGCCCAACTCAGAAGGCTGCCTGATTGGCTGCTACAGCGCGGAGGAGGTGGAGCCAAAGAATTTCCCCAGACAGGTGGGCGGAGTCCAGTCTCAGGCCTGCAAATCACCCCAATCCAGCTTCA